TATCCATCATGGATGAGTCTGAGTAAGGGCGCGTGCCATGTGGAGATTTAGGAAAATTGAGCGTGTCTTTTCGGACCCACTAGCCAGAAGTAATTTCGGTCTCCTTCTGCCTGATTACCTCCTTAAACATGTCTATCTAGGAATTCCTATACCTTCCCCTATGCTGTAAATGGGAAAAGATTGGGTACTGTCTGAAAAACGCAGGGTACTGGTTATTTAAAGGCATCAGGATAAGAATCGCGGAATTGGCGGTTATGTGCCATCTCGCGTCGATTCGTAGAACCAAATTTTAGTTGATATGATGTGGATAACTCCACGTAAAAACAACATTGAAAATACGATTTTTTTTAATTTGCTCCTAATAGCCTCTGAACGACTTCCCTAGTTCACGAGTAGTCACCAAATGCTGAAAATACGGTTAATTATGAATAGCTAGCATTTCACTGATGTTGATTTTTCGTCGAATTCTCAACTTCAACCAAGTCTCAACGTTTCAACCTATTCTCAATGTCGATACAACGTTGTTGTGCCGAATGGGTTCGCATCCGACTCCTCTCCAACCAGAGAGGAATTGGGATCCAACCCCAAAGTATTGGAATAGAACTGGAACCAATCTCTCTGTGTTCGCGAAAATCTCCAATCCTTGAGATGGTCAAAATAATTCTAAGCGATCTGCATCGTTCTTCAACTGATAACATAAACTCAAGGTGAACCGATTCACGAAGAATTCGAAATCTTACGGATGGGATGGCAACCAAAAAACAAGACAGAGGAAGAAAAAGGTCTCAACTTACTGCCCGAATGCTAAAATCACCTTTCGTTAAAGGTCCTTTAAAAACCCATGGACTCTACTTTTTTCTTTCAATTTTTTTTGTATGTGTGTGTGTGTGGGGGGGGGGGAAGAGAGAGAGAGAGAGAGAGGAGAGGAGCTCTTAAGCTCAAAGGTCGCTCCCTCTTGCCTTAATGAGATTCCAGCATTCGTCCTAAGTTTCTTGATCTGAAAACATGGGCATCAAACATCAGCATTAAAAATAAAATTCAAGAATCCAAATGAAATATCTACTGGTAGAAAACACACGTACGACCCAATTTCTTCTAAAAGTGAAGTCAAGGACCTCGAATCCGAAATCGGAAGTGCGTGAAATTTGCGAGAACAGTCAGGGATCTAACCTTGATCACGATGCATCTGGATTTCTTTCAGGAAACAAGCGGAAACACTTGAAAAAACCGATTTTCAATCAATCACAAAAAAGCACGTCTTTGATGCTCGGGGTTTCAATTTCGTTTATTTGTCAAGGTGGCTGCTACAGTAGAATAAGCTCAATTTGTCATTTGGTTCACTAAGTTAATGGTCTCTTCTTTCTCGATGACGTAACAATCACGGGTAATCACATCTGAGGATGGTACAGGAGTTTATTGCGCCTTGCCTTGAGAATTGAGAATGTCGGGCATAACATTTTTTTTTTAACAAGATGGCACTTTACTCATTCTACCCGACGTGCTAGGGAAATTCTAGATTGTGTTGAAGCCAATCCATCAGTCCCCAGCAATTTCAAAATAAGTTCACTGAATTCTAAAGATGTCTTCAACAATGAATTGATGTTTTGAGCAATCAAACTGAACTGCACTGAACACATTGAACGTAAGATTTTTTTTCGTGGAATAATATTTTCTCTATCAAATCAAGAAACGGCGTTTTCGTGCGTCCGAATACATATTTCGCGCGAATATATATTTGCAGAATCCTATGTAGAGTGCAAAAGCAGCGCTTCGACGACTGCGCTCATCGTCTGCACGAAGGACAACATGGTTCCTGCGGGGTCTTAAAGGCGAGATGGAATTGGATGATGGCGACGAAGAAGGCAGACAGGTTCGCCACGGCCTGCATTACGACCACAAATGGCGGAAACGGATCCGAAATATCCAAGGGCGATTTTTCAATCGTTTTTAGGTGTGAACGGAGCGACTCACGGCGGTTAGCAGCGGGAAATCGACCTCAAAAAGGCCGCAGGCGGTCACGGGTTTCCAGGTCCGAGAAATTTGCTTCTCGAACATTTCCATCTAAAGGATAAAAGGGTTAGATTTTAAATGTTAAAATTTTACTAGTTTTCTATCTCTTTTGATACTTCAGAACGCTTTTAACCCGAATTTTGGAAGGCTAGCTACAATAATCCAATGCTACGCTTCTTGGGAAATTCGACTCATTCACTCCTTTGTCAGTACTCGTCGTGCAAAGGAAACACCAAAATCGGAAAAGGAAAAAAAAGAGGGAGAGGGGGAAAAAAAAGAGCACGTCGTGAAATGAGATCATTCAGCCTTCCAGAGGAGGAGGGAATTGTATCTTGTCAGAGACAAAAGGAGGCGGAGATGCATTCACGAAGCAAGCGAGCATTAAGATAGCCACTTGCGTCACTGGAGCGCTCTATGCATGAGCAATGTCGTCTTGCTTACATTTTTTTTTTTCGCTGCGAAACCCTTATTTGCCCATACTCGATCTCAGAGCTACTGCACTTCACTTCCAACTTCGCCACGAAACTTTCCCCAATATATGGAAATTCACACAGCAGCTCCTACAAAAAAAGTCGACTTTACCGATGATTTTTTGCTCAGTCTAAAATTAACACTCAATTCATGAGTCCGGTTAGAGTGAGACCTAAAACTGCTACATTTTGTCTCTCAGTCCTCGACTGTTTCCGAGAGAGCTGTCAGCGTTTTCCAACAGCATCCATCCAAAAATATTAAACCAGTTTTCCCTCTTTCGTCTCGACGCAACTCGGGAAGAAAGAATGGGAAAGGCTGGATGCATTCCATAACGAGCGGACCATAACCGACCCAGATACTTCACATCGCTCGCTTCGGTTGGGATCTGTCTCACTTTCTTGCTTTAGGGTACTCGTTGAAATTAAAAATGCGGTCCTTCTGGACTGGAAAAAAGTATGGGTACTGTAGATTCTGCAAACCTCTCGTTGACCTAGTTGAGCTTGAACTGCTGACCCTTCGTTTCCAGTTGGCACGCATCCGGCCGAATCGCGATGTGATGACAGTGAAATCCTTTTTGACTACGGTCAGTCAGTCATTATCTGCGACTAAAATGTTGCTTTAAGAGCTTTTATATATAAAAGCTCTTAAAGCTTTCGATTCAAACACGCGCCCCTATAGGGGGCGATCGATCTTTTCCATCGATCTTCCAAAAAAATTGCCTCGATTCGTACGCAGAACTTAACGAGTTACGAATCTGAGATTAGAAAAAGTTTTGACTCGTAATTGACTCACTTGTTGCAACGTAGGTGGGTCTAGGATAGTCGTTCCAACCGCTTCTGAAAGTATTGCCGCCATTTCCCACCTCTGAAACCCATAATCAATTGCATCAATTATTCATCTGATTCTATGCACTTTTGCCCGAATAGTTTACCTGGTCTTTGACGTATCGACAAACCAGACAGGTTGACACGAGTTTTGTCACCGTCATGAAGAACCCCGGTAGATGGAGATAATAGGAGTACATCTTGTTCTCGGATGTCAAAGTGGGAACTAAGATGATGAAGATAATGAGAAGAGTGCCCATGAAGGTCGTCAAGGACTTCACGAGCAGGATTTCCGAAAAGAGCTCCGAAGAAATGTTAACGAGGCGAGAGAGGCGGGTGTGACGGAATCTCAGGGTCTGGATCAACTTCCTTCTCTCGGTAGGATTCGTGCCATCTGTTGGGGCGATCGTCCCCCGACGGAAATGCTGGATGCGATCAGCGTCGTCTGCAAGGGAAGTCATCCTCCAATGGGAATGCTGGATGCGATCAGCGTCGTCTGCAAGGGTGGGAATCGACCTGTGAGAATGACTCATTTTCTCGCCCTCTGAGATCCTTCTTTGAGAGTCTTTCCGGGTGTTTGCAGAGTCGTCGTTTGCACTGGCAAAGGATTTTGCAGTTCTGTTCAGGCAATGGAAAGTCGCTCCAATCCCGATAAAGATCGATGAGAACAATGCTTCTTCCAGGCAGGGCAATGCGAACAGGAGGGATGAAGCCAAAATCATCGCGACTGAATTCAAATGATGCCAGGACGTGGAGAGACTCACGGCCGTCAATACCAACCAAATAATCCCATGAACACTTACCGCGAAAAGAACTCTGTTATGAACCATTTGAGACTCTTCCTCGTTCAAGTGGATCTCGCCGCTTTGTAGAAGACGTCGAAATAGGGGAAACTTGACCATTAGGAAGAAACTAGCGATCGCCATTACGGAGACCATTAAATCACTTCCTGCGAAACTTATATAAACCATTAGGAGACCACTTCCTTCGTATTCCTTTCTTGCCCCATATGTAAGGAAAGGAATCTGGAACACGACCAAAGTCCACGTGCAGACGATGGCGACGACGATGGAATAGAAGAGCCAAATGATGTTCAGAGGAAAAGTTGGACCATGAAAGGACAGCGGAATGAGGCCAGAAACTCTGGCCAGGGCCAGGACGGGTCGAGAGGTCTTCAAAAACAAGTATTCCATAACGGCTGCTCTGCTGCGAATAACCGCGAAGGTCAGTCGACTCTGTCTCTTCGATAGCATCAAGTCCATTACTGAAATGAATATTGACTTTTTTTATAGACCCAACCCAAGAAAACATTCCTCGCTCGACGTGGGGTCCATCCAAGCCTTTTTTTTTTTCCTCTATCTTTGAAGCCAATGAATAATTCACGGGATGCCAAGAGACGGGACGCGCCTTTGACACGTCCTGGGGTGTGAAGAACAATAGAGGATATTTTCGGTTAGAAACACGTACACGTGTCTGAAGTGGGGAAAAGGAAGAGGAGGAGAGGAGGGAGAAAATGCATTTGTGATAGCCCCAAGGCGTGCACTGACAGAGGAGAGATCACTTCATCCGAACAGCCCCGAAGGGATGGGGGAAAAGAGAGATGGAGGAAGGGGAGGAGAAGAATGAAGAAGGAGGAAGGGAGGAGAGGGAGAGAGGGATAAAGACATTATAGCTGGGGTGCGTGGTGGCCGCGCTCCTCATTCCCGCTGAAGAGACGCTCACCGCAGCCTCTCACGAGCGTTCGTTCCTTGTTCCTCCGAATCCGAGTGCCGAGAGTGACATAGGCTTCGACGCTGGACACACCCTTACTCAGGGTGCATCGTGACCGTTGGTGAAGTCATCATGTGACGCGTCTTCGAGGACTCCTATATCACAGCACGGGTGCGTTGAGTTTTGGACTGTTTGCGAAATTTTTCGTCGAGTGCAGAGACTGCATTGGTGCGAGAAACGTAATGAAAGAAATCTTTAAATTTACTTCGTCCAATTCCGATAAAATTGGATGCTTAAATCCTGAAAGACTAACACGGCAGGACCTCTCTTCAAAGGAAGCCATGGTAACAAAGAAACTCAATTTTTATTGGCGTTCTTAGTTCCATTGACATCTTGGGATGAAATGTTGGATCAGATACGACATGTACGATAGTTGTGTGTCGTAGTCGTTACAACTTGCGTTGACGCGAGAGAATTCTCTCGGGCTCGGGAACATGTTTGCTTGGATAACAGCATTGTTTGACCGCCAAACAAGCGATTCGTGAGGATCCTAAAAGGCAGCTCTGAGAACCCCGGTCGAGTGACCGAGAGATCCTGCTTAAGGAGCAGGAATAAAACAAAAAACGAAGCCGAGAAGGCCCTCAGGCAGGCCAATTCCGTTTGGCTTCCAGCCAGGCTGAGGAGAAAACCGGCAACAACAAGGGGAATCCACAGCACTAACCAATTTGTTCCTCAGGTCATTCCACAGTCCACTTCCCTACTGGACAATCCGGATAGGAGAAAGAAAAAGGACTTTTATTTCACCTTGATGGATAATGGAGATGTCGTGGGAGGAGATCCTGTTTTTGTCCATTGTCTCATTCGAAAGATCGTGAGCGAGGCTCTGCCCTCGTCTCGTCCGTGTACACATGCCTCAGACGTGTCCAGCGTTATTTTATATCCCATGTCTGTGTACGCAGGAAGGTGGATTTTTTCTGAGTATTTTTTTTTTCCTCCTCCCCTTCCCTCTCCTTTTGGTCGTCGGTGAAACCTGTCTTGTTCTACCACTCCATAAAAACATCAGTGGACGAGTTTGTGGCTGGCTCCCGGCTGACGGGCTATGCTCATATTCCTTGACCCAACCAACCAACCAACTTGATTTATTTCCCCATCCTCTCTTTCTCCTTCCCAAAATGTCCTTGTCTACAGGCCTCAACTTTGTTTTTTTTTTTTTGAGGTCACGTGGCTCGGGAATGGTTTCCGAATGCTAATAGCCGATCCTGCGGTCACGATTCTCCATCATGAAGATAATATACGCAATGCATAACGCCACGCAAGCTTAGCCAGTGATCCTATAATCTACATTTTTATTGCTGTGCGGGAAGAACATCGCATGCCCGTAATTTCTCATTTTCATGATTTCATAACATTTTTGTGAATGTATTCAGCCATTATAAAAATGTTTCCGTCTCTATGAACTTAGGTGCGGCCTCACTTACGGTGCCCCTTAATATGACATTAATGGGGAATACCTCGAGGTGATGAGACTGGATTTCATTGAGCGGCAAATCGTTTATATAATTGGTATATTATTGCGGTTTTGATATACGAGTTGGCATTGGTGTCTTCCTCGAATTGAAGTCCATCATACAGTTTGTGCTGACATTTCTCAGCTTATCGGGAGCATTTTGAACATGTCAATAACTATATTATAGGAATCCGGAGGACGATGAGTCCGCTGACCCTGTTGCTAACCCTGACCTTATTGGAGGCGAACGTCGGCCGCGGCCAGGGCGCGGAAGACGACCTGGAATCCGAGTTATTCCCGCCGCCTTCGGCTCGGAGCGCGGCGGTCGTCGCGATCCAGAAGAAGAAACGGGAGGAAAGCGAGCCGATGAGCTGCGACGTGGCGAGCCTCAAGTGCGCATATCGAGTCGGCTGCGGGATGGCCCTGCACAACTACAAGATCGGCTGCTACGGGGTCATGACGGGGCAGACCCAGATCTGCCCGGACCATTGCAAGAAGGCCCTCATCGCCCTCACCTCCACCGAGGAGGGACAGGAGCTCATGCGGGTGAGACTACCCTATCCTTCGTTCGCTCTTCTTCGTATAGATTTGACGATTCTCTTAACTTTGCACACATGGCACTTCGTGGGCATTAGCAGGTATCTCTGCCTGCCCTGGGGATTAAAAAAAAATTAAGACAACTTCAAGGGAAGCATCGCCTTTTCCCCCAGTACAACATTCATTAACAATTGAATTCTATATAAAACAGTACTAACAATCGCAACTCATTGTCATGTCTTTGCTGGGAACTGGAAGAAGCCTGCTGATTGGAGTAGAATTTAGTCAAAAAATCACGATCACGATCTGTGTTTCTCGTGCTAACAATGGATGGAAATGTGGAAGAGAAATATATATGATTGGTCAACTTTGTCTGGGAGGAAATGTTAGTGCGTTTGATTTATGCTGGGGCAAGGCTGTACATTTTTATTTCAGTCGCACGACAAGCATTCTGAAGTAGGAGACGTTTACCCTTGCCCACAAGCCATTTTCATTTAGCTCCGGGCTATTTCCCGTGCGATCACTGCTATGGCGGTTGTGGTTAGGCGTTGGTGGATTGATAGGGGGAATGGGGTAGGCCTACAGGTTTTTCCGATTACTGCTAGCACAAGCTCACCCAGGCAGCTCGAGATAGACAACCCTTTTTGACTCGATTATTCTTGTTCCGTTTGGCTGCTTAGGGACTTTTCATTACTCTTAGCCCGATTCTTCATAACTGTTTAACCCTTTCCCGGCCTAAACACCCGAAATCGCCCAAGAGGGTACATCCTGGTGATGCATGCCTTTTAAATGGGACCGGGAGAGGATTAAGGACTCGGAACTACCACTTTCAGCTTTAAAATCCTTTTATGTCTACCGTCTCCATTACCTGAATAACATTACAAGATTCTCCCTTGAAGACTCCTGATAATTGAGCGAGTACTTGCTGGGTTCTCTTGCTTATTGTGCGTATCGCCAAGGAGAACTTGAGTAATGTAATAAATACCACGCTTGCCCTCTCCCTAGTGAGTTCTCGCGAAGTGCAAGAGGCCTTCTTAAGTTTTTCGTTCTCTCAGTTGCACACTCTAATATATCCGTTTTATTATCTGCGAGCAGTGCCGCTGCGAAAACGGGTTCTGCGAGGAGACGAAGCGTCGCATCGAGGTGTGCCGTCCGGACGTGGTGTGGGCGAACAATGCGTCTTCGGTCGTGACGTGCAGCGTGGCGCAGTGGATCTGTGCCGCCGACAACCTCTGCGCAACCGCGCTTCAGTACTACCACCGCTTTTGCCGTGCCATGTTCCACGGCCGCAAGTGTTCCCCCAGGTGCAACAATTCCCTCGCCATCCTCCTCCGCCAAGACAAGGCTCACAAGCTGAAGACTTGCCGCTGCGACGGCTCCGAGGACTACGACTGTGACCGCATCAAGCAGAACATGGAGAACCTCTGCTTCCTCCGCCTTGAGGGTAGTGACGTCTCAGAAAATGATGTCACCGAGAATGACGTTCCCGACGACGGGAACGAGAACGAAAACGAGGTGTATCGGACGTTAGTTAGTGCCGCCGACACCACCAATGCAGCTGTGATGCTCGGTGCAAGTCTTCTAGTCCAGGTTGTCCTCAGGGTGTGTCAGAGGTGAACGCAGCCAGCTCCATCTTTATCGGTGAGCCCAATGTCCCAGTATTTCATGCACTTTTCCTGGCAATTGCCAACTATCCTTTGCAGACAAATCCCGGTTTCAAAAAGCTCCTCCACTTCTGAACCGGAAAAATAGGGATTTAGGATGGTTCCTTTTTCGAACGGTAGACGATTCGGGAGGGGCCCATTTTCAGGAAATGTCGTTTGGGAGGTTGGAATGATTCCGCCGAATCAATTCATATAAGGACTCTTGGACTCAAAAATGAAAAAAGAGGAGAATACCTGGAAATCAACTTTCGTCGTTATCTAGGGAAATATCTGATATACATTAATAACATCGATATGGGCCCTGGGGCTCACACATTTAAATTTTGCCATTCTAAGTCTTTTGGAGGTGTGCGGCTCCTTGAGAGAAATTGCGTGCTTTCTACGATGATTTTTTTTCCACCTCAACGACGCTGCTGCGAACATCAGAAAAATTATCCTCTACTGATGCCGAGGCGAGATAAAGGCGAAGAGTTACTGGGAAAAAAAAATCATAATGCCTTCTGGAAGCCCTGGTGCAACTGGCAGGTGCTTGACGTTCACTGCCTCGTTCCAACGGATTGCAAGCGTTTTGTCACGCACACTGTCTGTCATTGTCGCAGGGGTGACGTAATTAGACGCGATGGCATGGGAGGTCTGCCTCTCCTGTCATCCTCTTTTCCTCGCCACCCAGGCACGGGAACTAACCAGCCCAGTTATACGATTACCGTCTAGTGTTGAGAGAGCAAACAGCTGACGCCATTCACGTCTGACAGCCTCCGAATCGGAAAGGGAAAGAAAAAACTCACCCTCCCTTGAGTCAACACAGAGCGGCTAATAATGCAATGGTGCGTGGGGGGGAAAAGCAACGCCATCTGATTTACACAAACGCTTACCTGTCTTCCCATTCGGTTAATTTTTATTTTCTACTCGATTATTCTGCCGGTTTTGCATCTACCTTGTCGGCTTTATTTGTTTATGGTGTTTATTTGATTTGATGGTTACTGATCACGTAAATACGCTTTATCTATCTCATTACTACAAGACTTTTCCATTCCGGCAAACAATGTAGGCTAGAAAATGGACCTATTACGGCGTTAGTCTCGACAGGAGCTTTTCTTCCTTTCACAAGGCTGCAATTCCGCCTTTCCCCCTCGCTGTAAATTTGCATCGCCCTCTTTTTGCCCTGTTAGTCTGTTGGGATAGATGACCCTTGATTAAAGGACGGGGGGTAATTAACACTGGAAGGTTGGCCTCTTTCTTTCTTCCCCTTGTTCTCAGGAGGTTTCGCCTTTCCAGGCCCCCCCCCCCCCCCCCCCCCCCCCCCCCCCCCCCCCCCCCCCCCNCCTCCCCCCCCCCCCCCCCCCCCCCCCCCCGCCACACACATCTGCTAAATAACACGCACATGTGTGCGTTTTTCGCACATCTCCAAAACAAAGAACCCTGTCACGACTTTACCCTCTTTTCATTTTTTTTGCAGGATCTGGTGAAGCGGGAAACGGCGGTGGACGAAAATATGATCAAATAACTTATTTATGCAGACATTTTTTGTTCTCCATGAACAATATGAGGTGCAGTGCCCCCGATGCGAAATGTGCGAAGAAGCCGTCCATTATCGCGAGTACAAAGAGTCTTTTTCTGGTTCTTCCTTGTGTCAACAGTATTATTCAGAGTGTAAGGAGACAAAATCTGAGTGACGATATGTATGGTGGACAATAAATGCCATCTAATCATTCTCTATCCCTATTCAATCGATTCCCATTTCTTCCATTTTAATCCTGAAATATTTGTCTCTGACTCAGCCAGCGAAAGTTGCATTCCTCCCCACTGCCCATGCCTCCTAATTCTTCCACTTTCAGACCAAAAAAAGGCTGGGAAAGTAAAAGAGCGAGGATTCCATAAAGTCTAGCCATAAAGCACTCCCTCCCCTCCAAGGACGAGAGAGACTGGCCTGTGGCCATATATGAAGCAGCCTTGGAAGAGGCCATTGGATGAGTATGGGCGGAATGAGAGATGGATACACTGTATTTCATGCCGCATGTCTCTCTATCGTATAACGGCAGTCAACGTTTTCTCACGGTTTTGGAATGTCGCCCTGGCCGAATTCCGAGAAGACCGGTTGTACCGTGCCGTGCTATTTGTATTTTCAGGTCTTGATAAATTACGCGTAAACAGTAAGACCAGACCTACAGCACGTGTAGTAATGACACTTCTTATATTTGGATAATCCATTCGGTCAACAAGCGTAACCCGCTGAGCAAACTTGGGGAGCCCTCGAAATTTCCCTTTCAGCATGACAAACAGAATCTACTTGATATTGTGGGAGAAGGTGGGAAGACCGAGGGAAAATCCACTCGAGCGAGCGTGCTAGTCTCCAAACAAGGAGAGGAAGGGGGTGTTATTTCTCCCCCACCGGTCTGGTTCCAATAGAACAACCCTGGCTGGGGGGGGGGGGGGGGGGAGANGGGGGGGGGGGGGGGGGGGGGGGGGGGGGGGGGGGGGGGGGGGGGAAGAGAAAAAGAGCCACAGGGGTTGATGGAAAAGAGGCTTTTGTGTCCCGCTTGGAAACGTCTTCATCCGAGGGGGCAGAAAAACATGTCAGGCCTCAAGGCTCCCACAGATGTCAAATCCTCTCTTTGATTTTCTCTCAGCCTAAACACAATCGCAAGTTCACGATATAAATCAATCATAACTAAATCGCATTGAAATACATCAGGTAACCATTAAAATGTTAAGCTTATTCAAAATCGAATGGAATGTTTTTGGAACTGGGAACTAATTTGAATTTAATTTAAATTTGAAAGCGGACATGCGAATTATCTTTGCATCTATATGACCTGTGAGCATGTACGCACGGTAGCACCTGTCGAACACCCTCCTTTGTTGAGTGTACCCATCAGAAAAAGGGTGGAGAAGGAGAGGAAGGAAAACACATCTGCTCTACTCTCAATGATGGATCGGGGGAAGATCTGTGAAAACGGCCCTCGAGGCGTTTTTATACTCTTATTTTTTTACCCTTCCGTCCCTTTTGAAAAGGAAGGGGAAAATAAACGACCGTGTATATCTCGCCTCGCATCTACACGCAGTATTAGAATTTTTTTTTTCCTTACCATCCACGGAAGGAGAAAGATTTCTAAGCGTGATGTCCTTGACAGGGAGGACCATCTGGGCCCCGAATAAAAAAATGTAAAAAAAAAACTAAAAACAAAGTAAGGGGAAGAAGAAGCAGCTGAGACCGTTACAAGTGCGATTAGGATGCGGTAATTAATCAATTAATACTAATGATTGTGGGCTGTTCCCCCAGGTCGGACTGGTTTTCATGGCGCCGGCCAAGGGCGGTCCCCGCATAAGAGCCGCGACACAAAAAAAAGCCAAGATGAAGAGAGTAGAAGGAACTCACAAATTGAGTGATTGATGTATGAGCGGACGTCGTAAACGAATGAAAAAGGAACAGGAAAGGAGTTTTAATAAGTCGACTTGATGGGGAGAAAAAAAGAATTCCGCATGAAGGCAAAAGTGATTCTCGCTTTCGAATGAACCATCTGCTTAGTACACGCAATCTCATGGCGTCCTCGATACTCCGTTCAGAAAATACTTCAAAGTATCTTCTGCATCGGTCATAATAGAGGGGAAAGGGGTGGTTTGGGAGAGGGAGAGGAATCCAGAAAGACGTTTCTGTGCTTGTTTCAGAGAGATATTTTAAAGAAAGGGGAGACGCTCAAAAGTAAGTTTGGCCATCGTTTCCTCCAGAGACTTTGAAGGCGGAGAAGCCGCGAAAAAGGTTCCTGCTATTGTTTCCTCAAAGGACTCTTAAGCCTTATCGCTCTCCGTCGCCCCTCATTGGATATGCATCCACAACTGGGGAAGATTTTCTTCCCCTTCACTCAAATCAAAGACCCTAGCCGTAACGCTAAGACGTGAGCCTTCCCCCACCCCCACCACCACCCCCTCCTCTTTATTGTGAGTGAGCCTGCTATCGTTGTTGGAATGCCATCTCGCATCTTGGAGGTTCCGCAAAACACTATGCATGCTTTCCTTTCTCCCCTCGGGCTCGAGGAGCCATACAACTCCTTGGCTTTTCGCTCTCGGTGCCCCAGACTGGCCTTCTAGGATCTAGATCGTCGAGACTCTCTCTCTCCCGCTGGTCCCCGACCGAGTAATAAATCGCAATGCTCCTGCGCTCATCGTCGAGCACTGAGAGGCACTACTCGATGCACTCAGACCTTAACGTATGCACTCGCTATTCGCAGTGGGACTTCAAAGTCAAAGAGCAGAAGTCGAGGGATGAAGGTATATCATATACCTTCATCCCTCGTTTTTAAAAGGTCTACACGCGAGATGTGTCACGGCCCTCTCGAGCCCATTTCCCTCGTCTATCGGAGTGACGAGAGTTTCCCATTACGCCAGGCAGGGTCTTCAAGGATGCCGTGAAGGTCAGATGGCAGAGCGCGGATCCCACGATCCAGAAACGTTACGATACGAAAGGAGGAGGGGAAGCCAAGCAAGAAAAAAAAACTCGCTGGATACTGTGGCCGCCTTATCCTCAAGTCTTTCCTCCCATCTCTTCCAAGCCGAATCGAACTGGTTTGTAACGCCCAAACGGTCGCTTTATCGTCTTTGCTCAAATCTGCCGGGCACGAGCGAGACGTCGGAGTGCAGTGAAGCCTTCGACTCGGATCCGAGATGATCCGGGAAGGAAGCGTTTCCGGATCGGATTCGGATGGTGAGAGACGTGTTTTGCAGGGCCGGCTCCGCTCTTGGGGCAACAAAAGGGTCACCCCGTCCAATGATGCAGGCGTAAACACCCGACTTTCCCCGATGAGCAGCCATCTCGCGGCAGACCCAAAACCTCCATATTTTTTTTCCAGATTCAACTTTCTCCCAACAGTGAATGATGAGATGACCAAAACGAAGACTCCATAATCACGTTGACATCCTTGATAGATAGAGGACCTTTTGACTTCGAGAACATGGCTTTCTCAGGCCGATGGCGAGCAAACCATGCGCTTCAGAACCGATCTGGATTGGTCGCTTCGTACTTGACATCATCGGAATGGAATTTTTTTTTTACTGTAGCAATACATTAACATATATAGTGCATTCGGAATATCATTTTAGGTACAAGTATTAGTGTAAAAAAAAAAACAGTATGAATTGATGGGGGTCAGGTCCCTAAAATGAAGGGGACGAGACTTCACGGGGTAAGAATCACGTGCGAAGACACGGAAATATCAGGATAAAGTCACTAAACATTTGAAAGAGAGGAAAAGGGATCCCTTCACCTTTTTCCTCCTCTATTGACGGTGACGATCTGAGTTTCCAAGGACACGGGACCCCGAAACCACGAATCTAAAAATCAGATTGGAGCAGATTCCGGGTGTTTTCCGGCTGATGAAACGAATTTCGATATCGGTTTCGCAGGATTCATCTGTATATTTCGGCTTTTTAATAGAATTTTCTGCCCGAAGACCCCGAAAGACACCTCCCTTGAGCAATAATAGCCAATCGGTCCCTCATTCCTCGAAACAGATCCAGGATTCTTCGCCTCACACAACGGCGCCGCATGAGAAAACCCCCGAAAGAAGAGCAAAGAAAAAGGGAATTCCTTCACCCCTTTCTCAGAACTCTCGAGAGCAGAAACCAAAAGTCTTGCTCACTGCTTTTCCGACACTCTTGCGTGGGATTTTCCTCATGCACGAGTGTCAGAGTCGAGTGGAAAACCTTGCAGCACCAGTTCGTGGCTGCACACGTTGCTCTCGGGCCGAATTCGTACCTCATCTGGATGAGTGGAGAACAGTGAAAGTACTACTTCCGGGGAGACCTGTTTTTATCAGATGATCCAGAAAAGCAGTCATATGGAAGATGGTGGGGGGTGGGGGGACCGGATTCATTCTGAATATGGTGCAGCTAAGACAGTCAACACGGAGACGACATTTGCCTGTTTTTTTCCCTTCGAGGACCATTTAGGGTCTCATCTGTCTGTTTGTCTGTCTGTCTCTTCGTTCCCATTTCTCAATTTCTCAAACCGAGCGCCGTTACGCTTTACTACTGGTAATCTCTACCTGAACAAGGAAAAATCCTTGTCTATTGAACATCCATTCCTGGTAACGAAACTCCAACTCGAAACAGAACGGCAGGAAACGGAGAGCACGGAAGCCGACATTTCGGAATGCGGCGATCGCAGTCCCTTCCAGCCACTCGTATTCTCACTCATAATGAAATGAGCGGTCACGAACGGCATCCTCTTTCATCCTTTTCGATCCAATCGTATTTGTTCGGCTGTGAATGTGAAGTAGAAGTCCGTCATTTGCACGAGTCACCGCTTCCATTCCTACCAAACATTTCTACGTCCTATAAACCTATCGATTCTGCGAATATTTAAATATGTGCAAATATATATATATATAAGAAACCAGGGTGCCGAGAGATGTTACAAATGTATCCAGAAGATGGTAGGATACCAGGATCAAAGGCAGAGAATGGCTGGGATTCGAACCTGGTATCCGACCATCTTCTTTTGTAACCACCTACATTTGTAACATCTCTCGGCACCCTGGTTTCTGAATTTACGCCGTGGGTCGTGTACCCATACCCCTTCCCTTGAAATACAATATACCCCTGTGCAGGTGTTACTGCAGCAAGTCCGAGCTTTAAGGGCGAGGCACGTGGAAAAACAATAGGCTTCGGTCCCATTGTAGATCTTGGGACGGGAGGAACTGTGTGGATTGCGAGCTCGCATTGAAATA